TTTTCTGCAATAAAAATAATAATACAAGTATGTTTGCATTTTTTTTACCACAACATTCACGATTTTTCACATTCATACCATTAGTAATTCATTATCCTCATTTATTTCATTCTTCCATTCATATCTAAAAACATTTGATAATTAATATATTATACAAATCGAAATTATCGCAATTGATATACATTTATTATCTTACAAGTATATGACTGTATACTTGTATAATACTTACACGGATATGATTCCCGGTATAATGTTAACACATGCAGCAAGTTTATTTTGCACCAAACCACTATAAGATGATAAAAAATTAATCAATATATAGAAAAATTCTATGACAACTTCTTCTACTTCAGCTTACTGTGACAATTTCTTCGCAACTTCTTGCGTTGGAACGGTAACATAAGCCACAGAATTAATACCTGCAAAACTACTCATATTTCTATAAATTTGCGTACCAATACTTTTTGCAAAACATACATACTCTGACTTTTGACAAGGGGGATGAGATTCGCTTTATGAGAGGGGATGGTACTACATGCACTTACGCTGTGCAAGTACAGTCGACATCAACCAATCAGATTTCTCTATCTGCTTCCTCCGCTTTGCTCTCTAAGGTGAGTTATACCTTAGAGTATGCATACCAATAAAATTTTAGTAACAGTTCATCAATGTCTATAAATCATTGCAAAAAAAATGTTAGAATAATAAAATGTACAGCTTTATTATTTTAATTTTATAGATTATTATTTTCACACTAATGAACTACTAAGGGACTTAATAAATTAAAGTGGCATAAGTAATTGACGAATAAACGAGATGATTGGAAATGTAAACTGCACTGCAGGTTAAGTTCATGTAAAAATTTTTCCTTCTTTTGATTTCAATACTATTCCTATAAAAAAGTAAAAAACCTGCAAAATGAATATTTTACCAGGAACTGCATCTCTCCTAGAAGAATTAGACAGTACGTATCCATTTTGAGCGTATCATTGTTTAGGTTATACCGGTTTGTTATTATGTTTTTATAATATAAATTCTTTACTAGCGTAATCAAGTAAAGATAAGTAAGATAATAAACAATAAAACTAAAACAATAAATAAACAATAAATAATAAGAATGTTATATAGAGAACAGTTTTATTTCTAATAAAATAGATGGAGGCATGAACTTTATGTATTTTCAGTTTAGTTGTATTTTAGATAAATATGTAAGATTTAATAGAATTTATTTATTTAAATATAGTAAATGACATGTATACGTTATCATGTTTTAGAAAAACTGATGGTTTTACTACGAGATGGCAGAACTTTAATTGGATATCTTAGAAGCGTCGATCAGTTTGCCAATATAGTACTTCATCGCACAATTGAAAGAATTCATGTTGGTAAGGAGTATGGGGACATTCCAAGAGGAATTTTTATCGTAAGAGGAGAAAATGTAGTACTACTGGGAGAAATAGTAATGCTTTTAATTGTATTCTTTTACCTTTTAAAAAATATATGTTAACATGTTTCAATGATTCAATCTATCGTATTTTAGGATAGGGAAAAAGAAAAGGATTTACCTTTAACCGAAGTATCTGTAGATGATATTTTAGATGCACAAAGACGCGAACAAGAACTGAAACAAGATCAAAAGCGGCTAGTAAACAAAGCTTTAAAAGAGCGAGGTTTATCATACATCCCAGATATGGGTCATGATGACATGTTCTGACCCACATCTGCGTCTTTGATCACAACTACTTCATCTACTTGTTCGCATAGTTCCGAAAGCTATGAGATGTGTTATACGTCGCTTTCTGTTTAAAAGTAGGTGATTATTGCAACTTATGAAATGACATCGTTTAGTTTCGTTATAAAACTATTATAGTAAAATATATAATGGTGCATATAGCATTAAAACAACTGCTGTTAATGTCAGTAATGAGAATTTATACAGTTTTAGTTTTATTATAACCTTGTACCTAGTGTGAAAAAAAAATACTTGCAGTGTAATTGTATTATACTTTTAACGATCTTGTAACTTTTCTGATATATACAAATATTATATTTAAATAGAAATCTATTGTAGTTGATACACGATCTTTCTGTCATTTGTATTAAGCAGTAAATATGTTAATAATACTTATAAATTTATAACATTTAAATATTTTTGTACAGTTATGCCTTGATAACTTTTCTGCTTCAGTTAGTATATAATTGTATGTTAGAAAAGCTATAGGTATTCATAGATAGTTGTGCGTGATCTTTGTCGAACGAAGGTTCTGGGATAAAAGTGCTAAGCGGTCAGTCACAGTCCTCTTACCAAAAGGCATCGCCTTCCGCACTCAGTGGCCAGATCCTTCGGGAATGAAGTCCCAATTTTTTGGCAAAGCAGCGTCGGGCCACTTGCCTTATTCAAACATACATTGTCTCAATCAGCAACCTGAGACGCCCGATAGTCGAAAGACCCAACGTGGTCCCCAACCGTCGTACGTCGCCAAGTCTGATTATATGTATGCATACGCTAGCACTTGAGACCACGTGCATTAAATAAATTATGAAATTTATTTTGAAATACAATAAGTTTTTTAATGAATTGTTATATTTTGAATCTACTCATCTCTCTTTGTCTTTGATTATGAGACGAGGCTGGAGTAGCACCAAACTTTGCTACATTGATAGGTGATTAAGTAGACACGTGTAAAGACGTTTGAAGTACTCAATGAATGATGTTTTTATTCATCAACTCTATTGATGAATCGATTTAATGTTTCCTGCGATTTCCTGCAACATTTATTTCAAATTTTGTAAACATTGAAATTCTCGGGAAATGAACCAAAATACAATTAGGGAATAATTCGTAATAAATACACATGTACACCATAATTTCTTACGTCATAGAAGATTATATTTTACAGTTCTTTTATAAAAGAATACAAATTTTTTAAATGAACTTCCAAGAGAGTCAATTGCATACGAAGTACATGAAAAATAAATTTGTAAATTATATGATTCTTTTACAAGTAGTTTTTTCAATTATTAGAAAAGTAAACAGTAGTTCTATAAAGATTTTAGTTATAATTGGAATTAGAATATAGTATGTACAATATTTCAACGCATGTTCAATTGTCATCGTTTACGAAATCCTTAAATTAATTGCAATCAGTATATTAATGTAATTTGGAGAAAGACTCTGATATACATGTATGTATAATCTTTTATTCAGGTTCACCTAAACTTTTTGACTTTCTCTTCTTCTTCTTTCTTAATGGTTCTTGCATGCCATTTTCAACCAGTCCATTTTCTGCGCCGTTCTCTGTTCCATTTTGCATTCCATTTTCTAGAACTTCACTTTTCCTTTTCTTGTCTTTCTTCTTTTTCTTTTTGGGCGTTTCCGTCTCCATGCTTGCTAGTATTTGCGCAGCTTCTTCTAACGCTTCTTTCATTACATCTATATTCTTCTTAGGTATTTCACCAGTCTCATAGAATTTTAATCTATCTTCTACTTGTTGTCGTAATTTTTCACCAAATACATTAGTTGGTATATCGGTGAAACAATCAATTCTTGACGCTATAGAGCATTTATTTGCAAGATACCTTGAAATTCTACCCTTATTCTTTGTACCTGCACGACCAATAAAGGTTGAATGGAATAGCAATCCATATTTTGGAGTGTTACCTCTTGTTTTCAATGCTCTAAACAAAGCTTTTTCAGCACCCAATATTTGTACGGTGGAAGCAGGATATTTTGCCAAATTTGTAAGAGATCCAGCATGTGCTATTAACCTAGCTCCTACTTGATCACCTATCAATGTAGCCAAGTTTGGTGCTACTCCAGCCATTTTAGATCTTAAATATTCTGATAATTGCTTTCTGTAATCTGCTAAAGCAATTACACGTCCTGCGAACATTTCAATATTAAGAAGGTCAATGGGGCTAATATCCATTCCCATAGATGATTTTGAAGCATCAATGATTGCTTGAGCTTTAGCACTATCCATAACAATTTCTTCCAGTGCTTCTAATTTCTCTTCTGTCAGTTCTTTCCTGTTCTTTATTAACTGTGTAACTTTGGCATACATATAATTTTCAGGAACTATTTTTACAAGTTCTGGAAAATGGTAACTATACCATTCCCTGTAATGGAACATTATAATAAATATCAATAATCGGTTAGGGGCTCTGTGACTACATATGTCGAAGAATTATTTCTATTATACATTGTGGTTTCTTACCTTATACGCATACTGAATGTATTTACATCTTTATCTAACTGATCTAACAAAGCTATACTTTGTATAATCATATTATCCACACGATGAACATTGAACTTGACTTTAGCTCTAGAATAACTATGTCCAAGACCAAGTTGTGCGATGCCGGAACTTTTTGAAGTGAAACCTTTTACTAGGTTATGGAAGTGAAATCTAATACCTCTAATGATTTCTGGAATGACACCAGTATGATCGCATTTTATACTTAAAGCTTCGCTAATGCTAGCTCCAAGTTTTGGATCCAAGACACCAAGAATAACCTTGTCCTTCTTTCCCGATTTTGGTATAGTTGAATCCAAAAATAACAGTAATTCTTCGGGAACAACTCCTTCAGAAATACTATTTACATTTTCTAAAGCTGCTAGAGCAGTTTTGAAGGGTGAGAAACCGACAAGTCTCACGACTGTATTAAAACGTGATAATTCTGTGACAGATTTTTCAACCTGTGGAAGTAACATTCCTACCTCCTCAAATTCTTTGATGGAAAAGACAGCATAGCCTGCAGCATGCTCGAACAGAACGAATAGTTTCGACTGAAAGATTCAAATAACAATTATATAGATTACTGTTAAGATGAAAATTCATTGTGTATGTATTCAGTTTTATATATTATTTAATAAAATTTTTACTATTTTATTGAATTATTATATTTTACTACATACATACGTCAGGTATAAATCGATTCATTAATATAATTCTCAATGGTTAGAGTTGATGAATAAAAACATCATTCATTGAGTATTTCGAACGTCTTGACATGTGTCTTTATAAATAGTTTGGTAAACATTTTTTTATATTTTTGTATTTACTAAACATTTATCGATTCGATGATACAAAAATATAAAGTTATTTATATCAACATCGATGAATAATGTTTTTGTCTAATTATAATATATTATTTATAAAATTGAACAATTGTTACATTAGATTAATGCCAAACATATTATGTATATCCAGTATATCGAAGAAAAGTTAAATTTAAAATTAATATCGATCTAATTGTTGTGCTACTTTACCATGCTTTGTTTATTTTATATTCCATTCAATTTTCAAACAATTGGTACATCATTGCGAAAACGCTCTACACAACTGTGTTTAGGAAACGATCATGTGTTCCGGAAATAGCATAGCGGGAAAATAAAGATGGAGTCTTTAATGTTTCCTGCGATTTGAATTTCTAAGCACCAACACCAACATATACATTCATTTCTCTGAAAATTTTGCTTACACCAACTTAAGAATTATTTATTAAAAATTAACTGTATTATTAGATGAAGGCAATGTACTTTAGTGACTGTACTGATCACATAAAATGTCGTTTATATATGTATAATGCATGTACATACATGTATATAAGCACTACACACAAANATACAAAAATATAAAGTTATTTATATCAACATCGATGAATAATGTTTTTGTCTAATTATAATATATTATTTATAAAATTGAACAATTGTTACATTAGATTAATGCCAAACATATTATGTATATCCAGTATATCGAAGAAAAGTTAAATTTAAAATTAATATCGATCTAATTGTTGTGCTACTTTACCATGCTTTGTTTATTTTATATTCCATTCAATTTTCAAACAATTGGTACATCATTGCGAAAACGCTCTACACAACTGTGTTTAGGAAACGATCATGTGTTCCGGAAATAGCATAGCGGGAAAATAAAGATGGAGTCTTTAATGTTTCCTCTGCGATTTGAATTTCTGAGCACCAACACCAACATATGCATATAAATCATGGACTTAGATCTAGATAGAATATTATAATATTAATATTTTTAAGAAAAACGCCGTTCATCTTTACTTTAGAACGTTTGAAGAATATTTTCTAATTTTTCAGAGCCGAAATGGTAAATAGTTTAACCGTGACATCAACACAATCACAAGCGAAACAAGTCACTCCAACGTAGCTTGTCTCACTTGGCGCGATATTCGACTTGTACTTTTTACTCGAGCGTATTTGCGATGGTTTTGAAACGGCGACAATTTCTACAATTATTAAAATTTTCGAAAACCCGTAAACTACATTTTAGTAATACTTTCCAATTTATGAATCTACAAAATCTTGTTCATTCAGCCATCCTAGTATGTACTATAGTGAGGCAAAATTGCTTACTATGGTGAGGCATGACTGTGTGTGCTCCAATACGCTCTGAGTTGCTCTGTGTCCTAAGTTCTCGACAGTGTCTTAACCTATAATTTTGTTTGTGTACAAATTGTTGACGTTAATAAAATAATTCATTGTATATCTACAAAATAAAAAGTATTTAACATCTATATTTATATACATAATAAATGTTTTTTCACATGAAGGAGTAATTATATTAAAAAAATTATTCGTTTCAACACAGATGACTAGTACAGAAGAAAGTACAAGCAAAATTGAATTTAAGAAGAAATCAAAAAGAGCATTAAGAAAGAGACAAGTTTCTTCAGATGAAGATGATAATGAAAATGAAGAAATTTCTGTTAGGTAAGTGGGAAATTGTGACTATACGAAAAATAAAGTTATGCTATTTCGTGACAGATAATAAGATACAGTACAATCCGGATTGTGTACATATTCGACAGGCCTGAAACTGAGGCAGTATCAGATAATGAAATATGTCTAATAATTAGATTACATTTGAGGATACAGTAATATTGAAGGAAATATTTCCATAATAAAAATGGAAAGTTCATACTACTAGTCAAAATCAAACGTTGATAATTTTGTTTACAAATCTACATGCAAGTTTAAGTGTATTGTCACTTGTCTTGTACATTGTATGTCAGAAATGGCGATTTTCAAATTCCCAGGAGAAAATTGTAGATTACTCTTATTGTGATATTTATTTAGAGAAAAAGTTGAAGACTTGAAGATTATACAGAAGCTTCGGGAACGTCCGAAAGGCGTAAACGTTGTTGGTCTAGCTCTCGGAGAAAATGTAACACCTGATGTAATTACTGTGAGTTTTAGAACAAAATCAATATTTATATAAATTCAACCAATTTTAAATATATTATTAATAAGAAAGAATTTAGTCAGATCCCTTTAACATCAAATCTGGAGGTATGATAAACATGGCTGTATTGAAGAATACAAAATTAAAACAGAACGATGCGTATGAAACAGGAATTGGCACACAGTTTAATGCGGAGACCAATAAACGGGATGAAGATGAAGAGATGTATACTCAGAAATATTTTATATCCATTTTAAAAAAGCTTAAAAGATATTAACATGCTTTTATATATTCACAGGGTTAAATATATAGAGGAAGAATTGACAAAGAGGAAGAGCAAAAATGAGGGCAAGGCAGAAAATGGAACGAATAATGAAAAAGGATCTTATTGTTCTCCAGAAGAAGCAGCACTGCAAGCTGTACCTGGACATTTAAGACAAAGTTCAGCACATAGGAGTGAAGAAATGCTTTCAAATCAAATGTTGTCTGGTATTCCAGAAGTAGATCTTGGAATCGAGTATGATTATTTAAATATTCTCTTAATCTAATCATAATATTTATGTAAATATTTACGTAAAAATTGTTTACATTATTTAGAGCAAAAATACGCAATATTGAAGCTACAGAAGAAGCTAAATTGAAGTTACTTTGGGATAGGCATAGAAAAAAAGATGGTCCTTCACAATTTGTGCCAACAAATATGGCTGTAAATTTTGTACAACATAATAGATGTATGCTATTTACTTCTGTTTTGAAAGCTCGTTAAAGTGTAAGAAAATTATAATACACTTTATACTTTTTCAGTTAATATAGAAGATCCAGATTTTCAAAAATCAAAACAAGATCCTGACGATAAAAAGAAAGTGACAGCACCTAGAGACGATACCAAGGGAAAACGAAAAGATAACGGAGAGAAGGCGACTGATGATTATCATTATGAAAGGTTTAAGAAACAATTTAGAAGATTTTAAAGTGATTTGTAAAATAAAATTGTAAAATATCTAATAAGTATATTGTATTTTTAAAATTACTATAGATAATTAATATAGTCATTAAATAATTTAATAAGATTATATGTGTAAACATTAACTGTAGTACAATCTTTATTGGTTTTAGAAAATGATTTAAATTTCATTCTTTGTCATTTTATTTTAGCGAAGTATGCAGAATAATTAGGATATTAAATTTTATTCGAAATGCCTCCAAATATTATCCTTTTTAATACAGATGAGATATAGATAATGTATTGTTTTTTCCACAGAATGTTATGATGTAAGAGGGAGAATCCTCAATTTAGTTAGCGCGGCTGTGCGCAGTGCGAACAAAATTGGCGAGAGAGTGGGTGGGGATGATTTCACGGTAACACGATTCATTGCAGGATGTTGTAAACTCGGCATAAGCTCGGATACTATCTCGTAGAATGACGACATCGTAGTTACACAGCGACGTCAATTGAGTGTAGGGAATTACGCTGAAATTCAATTCCTTTAAATTGTAGATAAGTTTCCTTTACACCTCTGTGACCATGAGTTGCGGATTCGTTACTTGCGGCCCAAACGAGGCCCTTGTAGTTTCAGGTAATTACATATGCATGATTTTTCTAATGAACTGAACGCTAGGCATACACGCATTAAACAAGACGACATACAAGGAGTGCCGTATCAATTGATTTGTACTATTTAGACCGCGAATAGAAGGAGTTAATTGCTTATATCATCACTTACGTTTTACCAGTTTCATATTCTCATCAACAAATTGTATTTTTATTTTTTGTTGGTATCATTAAATCTATCTTTCAAACGTAAATACAAAATGCCGACGCAAAAATGCACCGTAAATTCATTATTATTGCATTGAACTTATCCACCATTTCCAACTTTAATTTTTGACTCGTTTCTTTAAGGATGCTGCTACAGCAAACCTCTATTGGTACCTGGAGGCCGGGTGTTCGTTTGGCCTATTGTCCAACAAGTGCAAAAGTTAGTTTACTATATTAATTTAGAACAGAATTTTTTTTTATGAAGATGTGTAATAATTTTGATAAAATAAATTAATGTAATTATGTTTTTCTTATAGAATTTCATTGAATACCATGACATTACAAGTAGAAAGTCCAACGGTATATACATGTCAAGGAGTACCGATATCTGTGACGGGAATAGCACAGGTAAAATGTTAAAACATCATACAGTTAAATTATTAAGTTAAATTAAAGAAAACTTGATTGGATTAAAATATTATTCAAATGCGATAATAATGTTTGTTAATATGTTGGAAGGTCAAGATACAAGGACAAAATGAAGAAATGCTTTCTACTGCCTGTGAGCAATTTTTAGGAAAATCTGAAGAAGAAATTCATAATATCGCACTTGTTACATTAGAAGGACATCAACGAGCAATTATGGGAAGCATGACTGTAGAGGTACAGTGGAAATAATATTATTATATATTCGTTGGTTTATTATAAGAGAGCATGTACTGATCGTTTCATCTCTACTTGACTCCTATCGTAGGAAATATACAAAGACCGTAAAAAATTCAGCAAGGAAGTTTTTGAAGTAGCCAGCAGCGATCTAGTCAATATGGGCATTACAGTTGTGTCCTACACATTAAAAGATATTCGAGACGAAGAAGTAAGTTCCCCATATTCTCCTTAAAGAATTAATATTTTATGTTGAAGAAATGAAGGAAGAATTTTGAACAAAATATAAAAAAAATCATATCCTGGAATAAAATTTTTCTAAACTATATTCAATATCAATAATTTGTATACTATTGAAAGTCCCCCTTTAACTGATTGTAAACTTACATGATACCTCTATTAATATCAGTTAATGTAGTCTAATTTTATATGTAGTAAATATTGAATACATTTTTGTTTTGCTACTTGCAGGGGGCAAAGGTGCGTTCAAATTATGTTTTATCACTACATGTAATGCCAATGCACTGCTGTTTGGACACTGTTAGCAAATATTGTTAATACTTAAATGATAAGGGACTTAGAGGATGATATTTCAAGTGCTTGCTTTAATGGTAGCACAAATTTACTATACACATTTGCAACGTGTGTCATTTATATGTATGTGGCATCTTTCACTGTACGCAGCCTTTGTGTTTAATTCAGGCTGTATTCAAATTAAATGCTGACATCAGTGTTATCATTCAAAAATTCTTAATGGTAAAATAGCATAAATGATATTTGTTGTATAGTATTTAATGATTCGCAATTGTTCATAGGGATATCTAAAAGCTCTTGGAATGGCGCGAACTGCCGAGGTCAAACGAGACGCGAGAATCGGAGAAGCAGAAGCTCGCAGGGACGCTCAAATTCGTGAAGCCATTGCCGAAGAGCAACGGATGGCCGCACGTTTCCTTAACGACACCGAGATCGCAAAAGCGCAACGAGATTTTGAATTGAAAAAAGCCGCTTACGATGTCGAAGTTCAAACGAAAGTGTGTTTTAGATCATTCTGTCTTAAAACAGATATATTAAATTTTTCACTAAATATTATAAATTCATTTTAGAAAGCGGAAGCAGAAATGGCGTTCGAGTTGCAAGCAGCGAAAACGAAGCAAAGGATCATGGAGGAACAGATGCAAGTGCAGGTTATAGAACGTGCACAAGAAATTGCTGTACAAGAGCAAGAAATGTTAAGACGCGAAAGAGAATTAGATGCTACTGTACGACGTCCAGCTGATGCAGAAAAATACAGGTACTTTAAATTCCTAACGGTTGTTAGAGATATCAATCTTTGAATTAGAAATTCTATAAAATTAAATGATATTAAAATCTATACAAACGAGGGTTTTTAAACAGCTATTAACGAGTGTACATTTACAGATTGGAAAAACTGGCCGAAGCTAATAAACTACGATTAGTTATGGAAGCTGAGGCAGAAGCAGAAGCCATAAAAATTCGAGGTGATGCAGAAGCTTTTGCCATCGATGCAAAGGCTAAGGCTGAAGCAGAACAAATGACAAAGAAGGCTGCAGCTTGGAATGAATACAAGAGCGCCGCTATGATAGATATGATGCTTGACACTCTGCCAAAGGTAATTATAATATTTAATTTTAATGTAATATAAAAATAAAATTGTTTAATGTACATTATACGATTCACGTTCGTTTTACAGGTTGCTGCTGAAGTTGCGGCACCTTTATCACAAGCAAAGAAAATAACAATGGTTTCTAGTGGCAATGGAACCGTTGGAGCTGAAAAACTGACAGAAGAAGTTTTTAACATTGTGACGCGTGTGCCAGATATAGTTAAAAGTTTAACAGGCGTGGATATCGCAAAGGTATGTTTTAAATTGACATGTATATACTATATTGACAGAAAGGAACGTACTTATAATTTTTTTATTTTAATTTCAGTCTATTCATGCTGCATAAGCACGGTCTATAAAAAACTTTTGAATACTTCCTGACCACATCCGTACTTGTACGAAATATTTAATGAGTCTTTGATACATACATTTATTTTGAAAATGCTGTTACATATTAGATTCATTAGTTTCAACTTAATGACATTTCGTTGAATAACGAATTCAGTACTTTCACTGCCATTTACTTAAACGTAACATAACAATTTCGACTTGTGCCAATTTTGAATAAATATTATAACTGTCGGTAAATTCGAATTGGTATACAGCTTCGAAAATAGATTACAGATTTCGAATACATTTCGCACAAGGTTCATATTTTATTCCAACGCAATAGGTAAATTATATATGTACATACCCGAGTTTCAGAGGCAGTGATTGTATATTTTTTTTCAAGTCTAAATTATATATTACTTGTGTTAGAATATTATCTTTATGTCTCGATATGTGTTATACTCGTATAAAGATTTTATTTTGGATTACTAGATTTTTTTAAATCAGTATTTTATACACTTAGGAGAGAATAGATAAAAAAAGTATGAAAAATATATCTTTTTGAATCTTTTATTGACCAAAAAAATGGTCCAGTTTTGTCCATATTCATAGAAACTGTGACACACTTTCTGAGAGCAGAAACATTCCTCCAACTATGCTATGCGTACCTTCCGATTATATTGATATAATTAATGGGTATGACCGCTTTAGAAAAGGAAGTGAAATCCGACACTCGTTTATTGAATGTGGTTTGATGTTTAAGTAACTATGTCTAGTCCCTGGAATTTAAATATCTTTACATAAATCTTTAATTAACATACTTTCATCACTCAAAGATGCACTAATATATTTTGCGTCGATTTTAGCTAGAATTTACTGTGATCTAAATCTTTATACAAAAATTGATAATCATAAGTTCTTGAATTATGTTTGAGAGCTTTGATGAATGAAAGAAAAATTCGATTTTATGTAAAATGATTAAATGTTAAAATCAATATGTTCCTTGCGTACTAATTTGCCTACCCCGTCATTATATGTATATATATACGATAAAAACAGAAACAATAGAAATTATAATCTATATCGTCATCGTAATTTACACGTGTCAAACGTAAGCTATTTGTAATTCTTACAAATTCCATTAAACGTGTTCGAACTGTGCTTATATGGACAAATAAATAGCAATATGTTTACAAAAAGACATGATTTCGAATTCGAAACGGTTTTACGTTTGTGTATTACAAATTGATCCTAAAAATAACGTATTCCAAAAGCTTATTGCATAGCGCAAAATATGGAACCGTATAAAGCGTTTTTAATAGATTTTTTGGCCGGCGGTGTGTCCGCAGCTGTTTCAAAAACGGTAGTCGCACCCATAGAAAGGGTGAAATTATTGCTTCAAGTACAAGCTACTTCGAAACAAATACTTCCGGAAGAGAGATACAAAGGTATGTCATCAACTATAACTTAATATAATCTGTGTACTATGCGCTAAAAAGCAATCTTTAAAACTTGATTATTATTTTTTTTTTGATTTGGTAAAGTGTTAGTTATTTTATGTTATTAGGTATGATCGATGCATTTATCCGCATACCCAAAGAAACTGGTTTCCTCAGTTATTGGAGAGGCAATCTAGCTAATGTAATACGATATTTTCCAACTCAAGCGTTGAATTTTGCATTTAAAGACAAATTTAAAGCTATATTTTTGGAAGGCGTGCCGAAAGATGCATTTTGGAAGCAGTTCGCTGGAAATTTGGCATCTGGTGGAGCTGCTGGAGCCACATCCCTATTATTTGTTTATCCACTTGATTTTGCACGTACAAGGTAGTATGTATACAATTTTTAACTTTAAGCAATACAATTATGAATTTATTTGAACAGATTGGCTGCAGATATTGGTAAGGCAGATAAAAGAGAATTTCAAGGTTTGGGTGACTGTTTAGTTAAGGTTTTCAAGTCAGATGGCTTTATTGGTCTATATCGCGGCTTCAGCGTCAGCGTTCAAGGAATCATTATTTACAGGGCAGCATACTTCGGTCTCTATGACACTTCGAAAAACCTGCTACCCGATCCAAAGAACAGTCCATTGTATATTAACTTTTTAATTGCACAGGTAAATTGTACTTTAAATAATATGTGAGAAATGGAATTTATATGTATGGAATGTTTGTAGGTGGTAACGACAGTAGCTGGAATTTTGTCATATCCTTTTGATACAGTTAGAAGACGTATGATGATGCAATCAGGTCGTAGTAAAGCAGAGATGATGTATAAAAACACATTGGATTGTTGGATAAAAACAGCTAAAGCTGAAGGTATCGGAGCATTTTTTAAAGGCTCAGTTTCAAATATACTTCGAGGTACCGGTGGAGCATTAGTTTTAACATTCTATGACGCAATTCAAGATGCAATTGAAAAAGCAATGAAAGAGAAAGGTTCAACTGGGAGTGAAAAAGTACCTGCATCTAAATGATTCTTTTACATTGGTTACTTGTAATATTAATATATTTTATNTTAAAATAGTTTATAGATGCATTAAATTCTCATATAAATAAAATTTTGATTGGTAATTAATATATTATGTTAGAAATTGTAAGAAATATAATTACATATATTAAAAATATTTATGCTTTTATACTATTAAATTAAGTATCTTAATAAATATTCCATTTTATTGTTAAGTATTTCATAAAAAAATGTATATACACTTACCAATACGAATAATACATTTTTAATACTTTATTGATTTGTACACTAGACAAAATGAATCTTAGAAGTACTATATATCTACATACTCAATGCAATATTAACACTGACAATGACTTGATTTGCTGGCATTTATCAATAAATTGATTCATGTTTGTGGTTATTATTAAATTTATACATTTAAATATTATAGATTGAATAAAAATTATTCTATACAGAATTGTAAATGCCTTCAAATAAACGTCACAACTTCTATATTTTGATATATTATATGTAATNGTCCGCAGCTGTTTCAAAAACGGTAGTCGCACCCATAGAAAGGGTGAAATTATTGCTTCAAGTACAAGCTACTTCGAAACAAATACTTCCGGAAGAGAGATACAAAGGTATGTCATCAACTATAACTTAATATAATCTGTGTACTATGCGCTAAAAAGCAATCTTTAAAACTTGATTATTATTTTTTTTTTGATTTGGTAAAGTGTTAGTTATTTTATGTTATTAGGTATGATCGATGCATTTATCCGCATACCCAAAGAAACTGGTTTCCTCAGTTATTGGAGAGGCAATCTAGCTAATGTAATACGATATTTTCCAACTCAAGCGTTGAATTTTGCATTTAAAGACAAATTTAAAGCTATATTTTTGGAAGGCGTGCCGAAAGATGCATTTTGGAAGCAGTTCGCTGGAAATTTGGCATCTGGTGGAGCTGCTGGAGCCACATCCCTATTATTTGTTTATCCACTTGATTTTGCACGTACAAGGTAGTATGTATACAATTTTTAACTTTAAGCAATACAATTATGAATTTATTTGAACAGATTGGCTGCAGATATTGGTAAGGCAGATAAAAGAGAATTTCAAGGTTTGGGTGACTGTTTAGTTAAGGTTTTCAAGTCAGATGGCTTTATTGGTCTATATCGCGGCTTCAGCGTCAGCGTTCAAGGAATCATTATTTACAGGGCAGCATACTTCGGTCTCTATGACACTTCGAAAAACCTGCTACCCGATCCAAAGAACAGTCCATTGTATATTAACTTTTTAATTGCACAGGTAAATTGTACTTTAAATAATATGTGAGAAATGGAATTTATATGTATGGAATGTTTGTAGGTGGTAACGACAGTAGCTGGAATTTTGTCATATCCTTTTGATACAGTTAGAAGACGTATGATGATGCAATCAGGTCGTAGTAAAGCAGAGATGATGTATAAAAACACATTGGATTGTTGGATAAAAACAGCTAAAGCTGAAGGTATCGGAGCATTTTTTAAAGGCTCAGTTTCAAATATACTTCGAGGTACCGGTGGAGCATTAGTTTTAACATTCTATGACGCAATTCAAGATGCAATTGAANACTTGTAATATTAAAATAGTTTATAGATGCATTAAATTCTCATATAAATAAAATTTTGATTGGTAATTAATATATTATGTTAGAAATTGTAAGAAATATAATTACATATATTAAAAATATTTATGCTTTTATACTATTAAATTAAGTATCTTAATAAATATTCCATTTTATTGTTAAGTATTTCATAAAAAAATGTATATACACTTACCAATACGAATAATACATTTTTAATACTTTATTGATTTGTACACTAGACAAAATGAATCTTAGAAGTACTATATATCTACATACTCAATGCAATATTAACACTGACAATGACTTGATTTGCTGGCATTTATCAATAAATTGATTCATGTTTGTGGTTATTATTAAATTTATACATTTAAATATTATAGATTGAATAAAAATTATTCTATACAGAATTGTAAATGCCTTCAAATAAACGTCACAACTTCTATATTTTGATATATTATATGTAATCCTTCATAGATTCAGAACTGTACAGCTTAATTAAGCATAGTATGTCGATCATAAATGTTACGTCTTTGTTCACGTACTTGGCGTTTCCACTTATCTTGTTGATGTCCAACACGATTTAAAACATTACCTCTCTCACCCATAGGGTGAGATGTGCCAGGCGTTATTGATGTATCATCCTGTTTAGAATTAAAATAATTATCACATTAAAAAGATTCGAGCCTCTGTGGTAATTTTGTTGTCATAGAATGCTGAATTAAAATTTTTGCACATTAAAACAATCCATTACAACAACATTAAAATAACTCAAGCAGTTTTAATGAATACTTGGTCAGCTAATTAAATCAACTCATTAAAAATAGAGTTTTATCATATGTAAAAATCATTCCAACTCACCTCTTCATTGTTGTGTTCATGATACCCAATATTTGCAGACGTTTTATGAATTCTTTTGTTTAGTAATGGGTCCAAACAAATTAAGAATAACATATAGATGACTAAAAGCGATATAACCCAAATAACAAGTATTACAACTATCTGAAAGCGAAACAATTATTTAAAAATTCTATTTATTAAGAAGGATGAAGAACTTACTTTAATAATAGTGGTATTCCTATTCTCATATTTGCAGTCACATCTCGAGCAATATATTTCCTCTTTGCCTTTTAATTGGTCTCCTACTTTTACTAATACAACGCCTTCACAGTTACTGGAATAGTGGATTAAAATGCAAATGCAAGTGTACTACATCATATTTGTTCAATATGTGTAACAGATGTATCATTATGGTCTCTAATGAAATGAATGGAATTTTAATTACCATTGAGAAGGTGGAACATTTATAATGTATGGTTGTCGTTCTAACGATAATTGTGTGGTATTTCCCATAGATGCTAAACTAGGACAAATGCATTTACATCGTTTGTCGTCATATTGTGCCTGAAATTGTTCGTGCAAATTATATGTTGTTATAATTAAATTTCGTTCGCTCGTACAATGATGTTCTAACCTCGGATTGTGATAAACATGTCAGTGTGATCAGTATTACAAGAAATATGCGCTTCAACATTATGTCGTTAGACGTCTCATCCAACACGTGTTCTCTCTCTATTGTGTGTTTATGTCTTCTCTTTTTATTTAAATTTTTACAATTATCCAACACGTATATGGGAACCAAAACAGAGTTACAGAACTTCCACTTTTACTTAACGCATTTCTAAATTGTCAAACGATACAAACGGGTAACTACACTAGGGTTAACTACCGGTATTTCTCACAGATGGCGGTGGTACATCTCACGATAATTTCGATAGGTCGCAGTGTATCGCGATATGAAACAACGCGCGTAACTGTTTAATCATGTGTTTATGTAGTTTTATTTTATGGATATCAGAGAAGATATATGGATATCTTTTTTCAGTATCGCAATGATGCACTCCCAAACTTGCACGATTATTTCGTTTTACTAGAGACAAACATACTAGAAACTACAGACTTAGTTCAAACCAATTCAAAATAAATCTCTCTGATATGCACAATGAAAATCGTTAATAAACTGTGACTATGACATAATGAAGGTGAAAGAAAATTAACTAAGGGCACAGAATTGTTCCGGAGAACGTACTGCGTTGATGTTCTGGAAAAGAACACAGATAACGCTGTAGAGTAAAAATTAAAAACGTATTTTTGTTTAGATAGTTTAATAAATGTTGAGATTGAATATAAATCATACAATAGTCATTTCCTTTCCAAATTTCGTATATCGAACTTTGTATTATATAGTTTATTACATTTTGATTAAAATAAATCAACATTCTTAAATATAATAAATAAACTTACTTCATTCGTATTCTCTGCTGTACGGTATACACTTATTAATTGTTCATCTCAATATACTTAGTAACACTTTAGGACGTTCGGAACGCTCTTACATACTATATAATGGTTATATCAACACGCTCACATCATACTGACTCATACATATCACATAAATCTCTCATTTCGAAGTGCACGCAGGCAATACTTAAAATGAATCTCCTTACTTTCTGAGTAAACTCTTAAAATAATATGGAATATTAATTACAGCTATACCATTGATCTATGTGTGTATGTATATATACTTTTAAACTTATATTTATGAGCTAGTATTATGCAATGAGTAATGAAACGTACAAATGGACAGGGCAGTCTCAGACTTGCCATTGTACATGTTACTTGCAAAATAGATCTTGCACCATTTATTATCACAATTACAAGAATGTTATCAGTAAGATACAGAACGATGCAAGGTTCTTTGCGTTCATTCTCTTTGATAGTACTATGCTTTGTCCCGGATAGTTTTAAAGCAATCGTAAATAAATCAAGGGCCACGTTTGAAAAGTACACGAATGCATGGTACTTTGTAAATTACGATACAGCTACGCCAGTAACATCAACTACCTCCACGAGTTTAAGAAGAAGGAGAGCTTTGCCAAGCTATGATTCCGATTAGTATGGAGAGTATAACCACTCCAATAACAACGAGTATACATTTTTTCTTGCGCAATTTATTCTGGTAAATGCTTGCTTGCCTTACATGCGACGTACCTTCAGTGACAGATACAACCGTCCTTTCAACCGAAGCTTCTATGGAATCGATCACTTCTCCTTGGTCGTAGACCAATGTACCAAGATCTTTGAAGATTTTATTAATATCACTGATATTATTCTACAAAAATAATTCGCATAATTAATACGTTATTAAAATTTGAAAAAATGTACCGAATTTTAATATAACACTATGTACCTCCAATTGTCGTATGCTCGCTTCTTGTTCCTCTAACATTCGCAAATTTTGTTCTTCTTTCATCTGTTGCTGTTGCATTTGTTTTTGGGTTCTACTGTCCTGTAATTCTATCAATGTCTCCTGCTTTTTCTCTCCAAACGGTGGAAGACCAGCACTTGCTTTGGCCCTCCTAACCATTTCCTTTTCCTTAGAAGCTGCAAGCTTTTGCACAGCCTAAAATGATATATAGGTAAATTTATCTAGTCCAACGTACATCGTATTATCTTACCAATAGTAGAAACATATGCCTACTTGGAAGGAATTTAATGCACTTGTAAATTCTTCTTGCAAACGTTCTCTCTGCATTTTACGTTGCCTTTGTTCACCAGGACTAGTTGATCCCGAGTTATTAGCTAACATAGCTAAATCCCTAAGATGTACGCTGGTATCTTTTGCCAGCTGCTGCGTGTAATGTTGTATTTGATGCCTAAAACAGATCGTTATGTATAATGCTTATGTTTTAGTATTTAAAAAATATATCCTTGATAATGTGTACTTATCATAGAATAGGCATCTTGAAAGTATAAACATTCAACATTGACTTATATTTTTATAAGTACATATCAAACTTCATACCACTCTTATTCATAAGTAAGGCCTTTTATGTGTTTATTACAGATAATTTGATACTCACAGCTGATTTCGAAGTTCTTGGGAGTCCGTCGAACCTCCCAGTTGATTGACCATCTTTTGCATAGAAGATACTGTCGAACAGAATCCAAATGAATACCGTGTATACGCATTAAAAGGGAGAACGATGAATTTAAATATATACCATTTTGAGATATCTTCAGAATCGATGTACCAATCGTTTGAGACAATCTGCCAAAGTCTTGTTCTCTAGCAGGACCACCATTGTGGTACGATGAAAACCCAATATCCATATTGTCTGATTATTTATTAAAGCTCAGTTATAACTATTGAATTATCCTTCGCTATATGAAACAAAGCATTATATAGGTTACTTGTTTGTTTGTTAACACATTGGAGCGATCAGTTGCAATAAAAATCACTTTCACGACTTTCAAAACTCAGGTGTAGAGAGCAGCTGACAGGTGTAATTGTAATTAGCAATTTTCCTCACCGTATTTACAAGTGAAATTAGTATACAACGAAAATTCACGGTAACGTAGTATTCGATGACAAGTCAAAAATGAAAGAATTATTATCTGTTTCTGTACCTGTATGTCACGCTGTCAATGGAATGAGTAATGGGACGATTGTTCCACGCGATGACTCATACGATTATTGTGGTTGAATATCAACTTTTGTTTGAAAAGGCTGTTATGCATCGACCTCGATGTTGCGCCTAAAAATGTACCAAGTTCACTATGCGAAGCACTAAAACTTCGCGTAAATCGATAACGTGTTACAAGATAGGTCTTGAATGAATATAGCCGTCACAGTTCGTCACAATCGTCACGGCCTGCACGTAATTCTACGCGAGTGGTGACATCGGGATTATAAACTGTGCTCCGGCGGAAAAAATGGGGCCACTACGCATGTGAAACTGTCTTCGCTGCCATTTGCAGAAGAATCAGGAAACAAATTTCAATTCGTATGGAGAAACTGTGAACTTGTACTGCACGCATGCACGCGATTATTGAATATCGCCCCATGCTGGGAAATTTTTCTTCGCCTGTGCCTTTTAATTCCTTACACTGTTCCGCTAAAAATATCTCTAATTGCTCGTGTTGCTACGTTGCGGCATACTTGTATAATGTAATCTTCATCCCATCAGATTTCACGGGACGTTGAAAGTACGCATTTTTGAAACGTATCCGTTTAACTATTAGAAACGTATTATCAGTTGAAAGGAATTAATGAAAAAGCAGGATCAATGTCATAAGATTTTTTATTCGATCGAAGAATTATTTCGACGAAAACTGTTTTACAAGGCTCGCCCATGTCTGTTTACAAATGATATTTATATCCTATATGCACGTAGTAATAAATACTTTATTCAAATCGTCGGAGAAATCACATTGGTCGTTATGTCTAATAGTTAAAAAATATATGTACAAAAATATTTACACGGAAAAATGCGCGTTCCTCGCGCTAAATAACGTAATCGATAGAAAAATAAAAATTAAATTTTTATTTATGAGCGGGATGGTAAACTTTGTTTACGAAAACGCATATCTAAATTACGCTATACGAAGGAGAATTGTTTAAGAAAATGATTAATTACTGTATAAAAAATTGTTGTGTTATTCTTGAGAATTGTGCGAAACGAAAATACATAGCGATATCGAATGTGTATTGTATTTCTACATACGTCGACTATCGCGCGGAAAGAGCGATTTGAAAAAATTGAAATTGAAATTCGCGGGTTTATGATCGTTGAATGTTGAATTTGAAAAAGAACATAATCACAATTTGAATGAAACGTATTCGTATGCATCTTTTTCTTCGACGTGAATGAAAGAAAGCTTAGAGTCATTCAGGCTTCTCAAGGCTACGCTTGAGGTCTACCAGCACCTTTAATAGTAAAGCTTTCGCATATATCATGGAAATGCCTTACGGATGGATTTTTAAAACATTCAGCTACTGTCATGATCCCGCGGGAGTTTACGTTAATAAATATTTCGAACTAATTACTATTTCATTACCGAATACGGTACATTGTACATACATACATACATACATTTAACATACAGTTAAAAAACGTCGTTATCGTTCGCATGCACCGATATAAATAAAGTATCATATTCGTTTTGATTATCTCTTGAATCACTATGCATCGAATTCTCGTCTACAGAAAATTACACATGCGAGCGAAAAAGAGAGAAAGATAAAGTGAGGGACAGAGTGGAAGAGAGAGAAAGAGAGATAGGGAGAGTGAATGAGGTGTGTGTGTGTTGTGTGTTTGTGTGAGGGGGTGGGGGAAGAGGATGAAAGCAAGAAAAGAGAAAAGGAGAAAAGGAATTAGCCGATCGCATTTTCAGTTTACGTTTATCGATTAATTGAATCGGAGTGTATAATTTTAAACTCGCATATTAAGAGTATTAAAATTCGAATTAAGTAATTTCTATCGAAATGATATGCTTAAAAATGTATTCCAAATTGTCACGGAATGCTCGAAAATATGACTGCTTCAAATTGAAGCAAAATTCTCAATACTACAAATAGTAAAAAAAAGATGTAAGTACGTATATTCGGTATGTTTCTTTTGAAACATTCAAATACTTCATGTATTGGCCATATTTTAAAAATACTGTAAATTCAGTTCCAAGTACTCGACGACTGTATTTTCAGAGTATTTTTACATTTTTTATATCTAGACATCGACTAATTTTTTTCTCCTATCTTTACATCGAAAATGTCTGCCGCCCACACAGATGTTTTTATCACCGATTGTTACATCGTACTTTCAACTGGATTGTGCATCGTTTGGAGTGCAGCGTTTTCCAAGTGTCATCGTCTACAAAACGCTCGTTCGTTTATGTACATTACATCCATCCTGGTGTTTTAAATAGTGTGTGTGATATCCAGTGATTATAATATCGGCTTTTTACTCAGGAGTACACTTCCATGGAAAATGATATCTTTGCACGTTGGAAAACACTGTTGGAAGATTCCCCGCTTTGATGCTCAGCGTTCCTCGTAAAAACATAGCGTTGGATAAAATCATTTTCGATCTCCGTGTAAAAAGACGCTATTAAAGTTTTGCTGGTTGACAGAGCTCAGATGTACGCATCTGAATTACAAACTCTCGATGATCACTTGAGTAAGCTTTGAGGTATATTCAACACAGAATTACAGTCGACAACTGTATTTCTCGCCACGCTCTTTGGTCTCTCGGATTTTTCTTTGGTTTATCTACTATCCCTCTGTGTTTGCCTAAACACAAAATATCCCACTTCTCACATGATTCGTCGGACCACCATGGTTACAACGACCAAGACAGGTGGACTTTATCTAAATGTCAATTCAGTGATCGAATCACAGGCTGGTTTCTTCGATAGAATCAGTTCGCAGGAGATTCCGGTGGCCGTCGAGGCCTACGAAGTATGTTGTTACGAAGCCTTTTGGTTTCACGTACGTTGCTCCTCGAAGATGACACTTGACGCCCTGTTGCTCGAGGACCGCAGCGGTGTCCGCCGTTATCTGCGAAGATATTTTTGTTTTATGACAAATAATTGAATGGGGGTTTAGAAAAAGAGTATATGCTGCAAATTTTTTTATCAAGGGCAGCTATTGTGATAAATAGTTCTAAGTAAGACGAACTTGTATCTGTCCCGGAAGACCTGTTGTGTCCATCCTTGACGCCATATTCACAGGATCACCCCAAATATCATACAACGGCTTTTGAGCACCCACTACGCCTGCTGTCACTTCTCCATGAGATATTCCAATTCTTAACCTGTAGAAAAACATTTTATCACTGTAAACTTCATTTCCATAAATAAGGTACGCGTGAATGTAATTGTGGTACCTGTAAGGTTTAGACATATAAAACAGTCTAGCATTCAGCTTGTCAAGGACTGCTATCATTTCAGCTGCGAACTGAGCCATCACTTTCACTACATTGTCATAAAACACGTCTTCGCTTTCCGTGCTGTGCATCGAATCACGTCGAGAGGCTTGTAATCCGCAAGCTGCCATATAGGTGGTACCTGTCAAAGTAACAGTGTATGTAACACATATTACCTCAAATTATATTTGACTGCGAAAATGTTCGCAGGATTTCCATCGATGCTTAAATAACTGTTTAAGCTGATAAATCATTATGAACGCTCTTATGATTTTTGATTCATACACATCTTACCAGCAATCTTGATCTTTTCGATTTGACAAACGAATGGAGATTGGAATAGTAATTTATCAAATTCGCAAATTATTGCGTTAAGGTCCGCCAGAATGTTGCTCTCATCGATGCTTACGTCCGTGATCGAAGCGAACATGACCGCTACGTTATTATGCGCTTCGTGGTACGGTTCGTTTTCTTCGGTTCTGTTCATGTTTAAATAGAACTCCGCTACGAAGAAGGAAGTCGAATAAAAAACAAATGTTAATTAAATTATATATTTCTGAGAATTAATGTCTGGTCGAAGTGTAAACGTACCAACGTGTTCTGGCAAGATATTACGGAGTAGCAGTTTGTTCGCGTTTCTAGTGTGGAACGCTTCGTCCTGTTCCTTCGTCAACTGTCGTTTCCAAATGTAATCCAACCTGCTCAAGTACTCTGCCTAAATAGATCACCGTGAAAATTAATACACGACTGATATTGGTCGGAAAACATCGGATTCGATATAGCTCACCTGACGATCGATGAGATGCAACGAGAACGTGAGGAAAACTACACTCAAAATATGCGCCAATCTTGGTTCCAAGTAAGGATTTAATCTTTCACCCGACTGTGGAGAACAAAAATGGCGAATAAGAAGAAAGCGCGCGTAATATAAATAATATAAATAAATTGTAATTAATTATCATTACCTGAAACAAATTCGAACGGTGCATCCAAACGTTTCCAGAGTAAAATCCCACTACGGCGATACCTATCGCTAGCTTTAAGAGATAATGGACTCTCAGAAACAAAAAGCTCGTTAGAATCGCCAGGGAACAGGTTTGTGTCATTTGCTGAAAAGAAAAAAATATCAATCGTTCAATGAACGCGAAGAAGTTTGTCCTACAGGATGCGAAACGTTCAATTAGGGACAGGTTTTACAGCGTCTAGTTAGTACCTACTAAATAATCTTACCCAGGGTGTAGCTGTACATTTGAGTTTAGCAGCACCCGGCTCCGATATGCTCGATGTTATATTATTACTAGCAAGATCGTCCTCGTCCTTACATTCGAACTAAAAATACGCACAAATGTACAAATTATTATATTATATTATTATTATATATTATTACATAATTATATACATAATAATTATACTATTATATAATTATATATATATAATAATTATATTATTATATAATTATATACATAATAATTATACTATTATATAATTATATATATAATAATTATATACATAATAATTATACTATTATATAATTATATATATAATAATTATATTATTATATTATTATTATATATTATTATTATATTAATTTCACTTACAATCATATCGAACATGGCACACGCAGCTAACATAATCGTTATGACCAAGTAAAGTATCATCCTGAGATACGCGCTCCAGACAACCTAAAGCATAATACTAAAATTAATCTAAAATACACAAAAGTAAACGAAGTAAAAGATAGAATGATCACCTTCACGCTGGTCTGATACAAGAAGCACAAGATCTTATTGCGTGGATGGGGAACGTGACTTTCGTGCTCGTCGTGCGGGTCCTGGTACCGGTTCCACGCGAAATGCATCCAGACGATAGGCATCAGAACGATCAGAAACAACATCGCTACTGCATAGCTGATTGCCGTGCTTACGTGCCACCTAAAAGTAAATCGATCATTGCTAGGACTTTGTGCTGCTCGTGATCCGTAGTAGGTTACTGACCAAACGGCCTTACGAAGGGAACATACTCGGAAAAAGAAAGCGTAGGTACCAAATAAATGAGTCCCATAAAGATCAATACGAAGGTGGTGCAGCTGACGTAAAACTTGAAAAGGGGATCCGGTTCCTTTAGGAACGGTATCTCCCAGCTCCACTGACGGAACGTTAGCAGTAACGGGTTTATATGTTCCCATTTGCACCATTGTCTGAAACAAAGGTATCAACAAAGTTAGAGGTTCATTGACATCACTCGTTATAGACTTATATATGTCTTTCTATCCCCACTACTTGAAAACTGATGAAGTTACCGATGAAATATTAAATAAGCAAAGTCACGACGGTTGGCATAGTATCAACAACGCGTCGATCCGCAACGGTATCGCAGTTGGGGTCAATTAATTACTCACTCCCACTTGGTGAGAGGCATTTGCTTGATAGCGGTCTCCATCTCGGCGTCCGCGGCTTTCAGCATCAGGTGATAGTCTTTCAGGCACGAGTCCATGAAATGGGTGCGTCGCCTATAAGTGCTGGCCAGTACGTCGACGTGATTCGTCATAGTAGCCGTCAGCCGTCTGCTGTTTTTGGTTGCGGCAGTGACGCTGCTCGATCGAACATTGTAGAACCGCACGTAATGCTTGTTGGCCATCGGCGGAGGGGAGTCCGGGGTCATGACTCCCAAGGTGTTCTCGCTGTTCTGCAACAAGGTTCGCCTGTCAACGATGCGGAACGCTCAACGGAAGTTCGTTCGAACGGTNTAATTATATACATAATAATTATACTATTATATAATTATATATATAATAATTATATTATTATATTATTATTATATATTATTATTATATTAATTTCACTTACAATCATATCGAACATGGCACACGCAGCTAACATAATCGTTATGACCAAGTAAAGTATCATCCTGAGATACGCGCTCCAGACAACCTAAAGCATAATACTAAAATTAATCTAAAATACACAAAAGTAAACGAAGTAAAAGATAGAATGATCACCTTCACGCTGGTCTGATACAAGAAGCACAAGATCTTATTGCGTGGATGGGGAACGTGACTTTCGTGCTCGTCGTGCGGGTCCTGGTACCGGTTCCACGCGAAATGCATCCAGACGATAGGCATCAGAACGATCAGAAACAACATCGCTACTGCATAGCTGATTGCCGTGCTTACGTGCCACCTAAAAGTAAATCGATCATTGCTAGGACTTTGTGCTGCTCGTGATCCGTAGTAGGTTACTGACCAAACGGCCTTACGAAGGGAACATACTCGGAAAAAGAAAGCGTAGGTACCAAATAAATGAGTCCCATAAAGATCAATACGAAGGTGGTGCAGCTGACGTAAAACTTGAAAAGGGGATCCGGTTCCTTTAGGAACGGTATCTCCCAGCTCCACTGACGGAACGTTAGCAGTAACGGGTTTATATGTTCCCATTTGCACCATTGTCTGAAACAAAGGTATCAACAAAGTTAGAGGTTCATTGACATCACTCGTTATAGACTTATATATGTCTTTCTATCCCCACTACTTGAAAACTGATGAAGTTACCGATGAAATATTAAATAAGCAAAGTCACGACGGTTGGCATAGTATCAACAACGCGTCGATCCGCAACGGTATCGCAGTTGGGGTCAATTAATTACTCACTCCCACTTGGTGAGAGGCATTTGCTTGATAGCGGTCTCCATCTCGGCGTCCGCGGCTTTCAGCATCAGGTGATAGTCTTTCAGGCACGAGTCCATGAAATGGGTGCGTCGCCTATAAGTGCTGGCCAGTACGTCGACGTGATTCGTCATAGTAGCCGTCAGCCGTCTGCTGTTTTTGGTTGCGGCAGTGACGCTGCTCGATCGAACATTGTAGAACCGCACGTAATGCTTGTTGGCCATCGGCGGAGGGGAGTCCGGGGTCATGACTCCCAAGGTGTTCTCGCTGTTCTGCAACAAGGTTCGCCTGTCAACGATGCGGAACGCTCAACGGAAGTTCGTTCGAACGGTCGACAGAGGTTGATCAGTGGCGTAGGAGTTGCTCGAACTTTGTCCGACAAGGTGGATTCGATTGTCCTTCGATCGACTGATCGCCGCAGGCTTCCTACGCCACCGGGAAATACGCACCTGCTTAGGCAACGGCTCGTCGGGAATCGACGGCGTGATCAAGTAGCTGCGAATCTCGTATTTTTTCAGAATCTCGTCGTTCAAGGACTCGACCGGTACGCAGTCGTACTCGGTCGCGTCCACCAGATCCAGCGTCTGTTGCGTCACGTGCACCTTGCCGGGCTTCCCGGTTTGCTCCATTTTATTGGCTATAACCACATCGCGTGACCAGACATCGTACTGCCACTTGTTGGCACCCAGGATCCCAGATATTATGTTCCCCGAATGAACGCCTATCCGCATGTTCACGTCCACGCCGCTTTCTCGGCGCACCCTTGCTCTCACCTCTCTTATGATTTTTATCATGTCCAGTCCTGTAACGAGTTCGTTTTATTATTCTAGTCATAGAATGCCTACCCGCATGCTCTATTATCTTAGCAAAACTTCGTTAACTCCTTGTTGTACTTTGACGAGCTTGACTCGTGATATAGAGAATACAATTTTGTTCTATTGTTATCTATGTTTAATCCTTTCAGGATAGATGTATATATACAATAAATTGGACAATAGAAATTGTCCATTTTTGCGCACAATCGGAGCGTCAATTAGGGAGCATTTACTGTACATCTTTTCTCAGAATTTATAATCATATAATTTGATATTATAAATATATATACAATTATATTTATAATTGAAAAGATCAGGATGCGTTGTTCATTTTTTCCATTATCTAAGCGATTAGTATGTAATCTAGTAATCTAGTCCTTCGAGGAGAAAGTTCTTAGTACTTCCTAAAATCCTAAATGGTTAAACATAATATAATAATATAATTAATAATAATATAGTATATTATAATATATTATTATATATAATAATATAATAATAATATATACATAAACAATAATAACATAATTTTTCTTTCTCTTCTAAGAGATTGTAACAATAAAAAATATTATAATCATTGTGAATTGTGAAGAAAATGGTACAGCAAGTGGTCAACCAGATATCAAAATGATCGTAACGAATTTAACCGAACATCCCAAAATTTTAGGCTGTTGCAAAATCTGAGGATGTCCAACGTACCCAGGTCCACGCAGCTCTTGGCATGCTGCGAGTTCGGTGTAGGCACCCCACTCACGCAATAATAGCAGTCACCCAGGAATTTGATTCGCAGAACGTTGTGTCTTTCGGAAGCTTCGTCGAAGCTGCCGAATAGATCGTTCAGCGTTTCCACTAGCTTGCGAACCGGCAGGGTGACAGTCAGTCCAGAGAAGTTCACCACATCGGCGTATAAAATGCTCACATTGTTGTGCGTTTCGACGCACAGATCGCTGAAAACGAAGCGCTCTTTAATTCCAACGATAAGCCTCTTCGGAGAAAAAGCGAAGTGTACAAAGTGTTTCGTACATCGTGATACAACTGACCAGGACGTAATTATAAATGTAAGAATTAATTGAAAAGAAAGATATAAACATCCTTATGTTTGGAAAGCTGCTCTTTTGATCAAATCTTGTTGAACATTACTGACTCGTCTGTTCATGATTCTCCGTTCCTACTTCTTACAAGTAATCTGGCGAGTTCTCGTGAATGGAGCCTTTGTTGGTTGTACCATGATTTACGAAACATCCTGTATTATAAAAATGAGAATTTGTCGCCAATGAAAGTATTTCGTATACGAAATATATGAATGGTTATAATCCGGGAAATGAGGGGTGTCTGAGGTGATTTCAAGCAACTTTTTCCTTTACACAAATTTTCTCCGATGCATCGTTAACGAATTATCAACGAAAAACACTGACCAATGAGGGGCGAGTGCGCTTGGCGCTAGGCGGTCGAGCCAATAAGCGGAACTGGCTTGGCCGCCGCGCGTCAGCCGAGCTCGCCTCTCATTGGTCAAATGTTTTTCGTTGATAATTCGTTAACGACGCCTCGGAGAGAATTTGTGTAAAGGAAAAAGTTGCTTCGAATGACCTCAGTAATCTCTAATTTCCCGAAAGTACCATAATTTTGTGACACTCTGTATATCGAATACGTACGATCGAATACGTTCTGAGAGGAATAGTATACCTGTGAGGTCGCCCTTTAGGTGGAGGCTGCTTGTGATCCTCGATGAACTTGAACACGTCCCTGAATTCTTTCTTAATTTTAGCGGCTATATGTTGCGGCAATATACTTCGCGTGAGTTGTTCCTAAAAATGTAGACACGATGTAGAATACCGTTTAACATCTTATCGCCGATAGAAAAGAATAATCTAAAAGTTCAAACATACTTCCTGATCTTTCTCGTAGTTCAATCTGAGCGTCGACTCAACGCACTTCCGGCGATCGAGAAAGGACCGCCTGATGACGACCTCATTCATGAACCTGAAGTACAATCCTAGGCCGTTCACGCAAATGAAATAGATCGTGTCTGTGATGATCTGGAAAATCAGAGATCGAAAGACTGCAGTCGAGAGTTGGGCTAAATATTGGGTTGGCAAATACAGTGTTGTGGTGCATAATTATAAAGTCAAAGTAACTTTTACATTGTTACCGATATCTAAACGAAAGCTTAACAAAATAACATATATTTGTATATTTCTATTTTCTATTACTTCTAATATAGAAATATACAAATCTGATATATCGTTAAGTTTTCGTTTAAAGGTGTTAAAGTTACGTTGAATCTGTAATTATTCGCATCACACAAATTTGTTATTTCATCGAACAAATCGGCAATTACTTAGTTGCCAACCCGATACATGCGCTACAATTAGGGGATGTAACTTAATAATAAGATATCGTACGATCGGGTGTGTCGTAATCTTATTTTAGTGTAAATATGGTTTTGAAACAGTGTTTTGTAACTGGTCCCATAATTAATAGGCACAGCCTTCCAGGAAGTGATTCAATGGAGTGTCAACATGCAAACTTCCTGCAGTCGGCGACAAAACATTTGCGAGTGCTACGCTTATCAGATCTTTCATCGTTGTGATCGGTACAACATACTCTCGAAGTTGGCCTAGACCGTTTCAAACGTTCTATATCGTTCTTTTAAACGTTTCATAAATACGATTCTCACATTTTCTGAACATCGACTGTAAATCTCTGTCTAGTTTGTCGGCGAGATTAACCCCTTGACATACCATTTCTTTTTTCGTAGTTACTGCGATTAGAAATTTTTCGATCGCAATAATTTCTTATAAGAGAAAGAAAATCAATTTGTGCCTAAATTAACCTGAATGCCTAAATATCGATGCCAAGAGATTCGAATTTTATTGTAATTTTAAAGGACAGAATAACATCTGTACTCAATAAATTATTACTAGAAATTTTCATGACGTGTGGGGCTCGTCAAAGTACGGCAAGGGGTTAAAGTTAAAACTGAAACTGATACACTTTATCGGGTTCGAAATAAATTAAAATTAATCGAACTGCCAAGCGAATGAACTGCCAAGTAGAACAAGTCTATAAAATTCTCTGTCGAACGACGAACAATATCGAACGAATTGCAAAGTATTATAAATCGTGTCTATCGACTAATTGATTTGTCGCCGTATACTTCGTCGCACCGCGTTGTTCCAGAAGATCGGTGCTAACAGATTTCCAATTAGAAAAGCGTTAAAATAGCGTGCTAGCTGGTCGCGGGTTTGGAACAGCCCTGTACCTCCGCCGATGTGCGATAATAATCGGCGGCCCACGTGAGTGCCTAACACCGAAGATAAACCTGGCTGATCCTCTAATTATCTTAAACGGCGCATTAACGCCCGCTGTATCCATGTTTATTCGGTCAAGCGACTCACGTGAAGGAAATGCGTAAGGTGTCGGTGTTTACCTTGGTAACGTAATCGGACGTGTTGCTGTAAGTGATTAACGAGAGCGCGGCCAGGTAGCATATGGTGGCCGTGATCCCGAGTATGAAAGCGTGCAGATTCTCCGTGAGCGGCAGAAAGACGTAACAGGCGAGCAATGCCTGCGTCGCGTACGCTGGTCTGGGGGAGAAAAAAAAGAGGAACGCATTTAAAAACTTGCAACGATTGTTTCGACGACCACCGCCCGATTGGAAGTTCACGGCTCGCGATTAATACTACCCGGAAGAAAAATCTGCGGACCAATTCTCGCGATCTCGATCGTTCGCCAACAAACCGTGGATTAGCGCGTAATATTAACATACGGTATGGTGGTTTCATAATTTTTCACGAAATTGCGATTCACGGCTAACGAATTACCTTCCTAAAGCGAGGTTTACCGGGGATTTATCCGAACCGGATGGATCTCTTGCTTTATCTCTTTTCTCTCGTTTGCAAAAGATTCGATTTTCTTGTATTATACAATGTTTATACAATATTATTTTATGGTATTATTTATTATTATTTGTATCATTATATTATATACATATATTATATATATTTATTTTTATGATAATATAATAATATAATATATAACATAATATAATAATAATAAATATAATATAATATATAATATATATATATAATATAATAAATAATATAATAAATAATATAATAATTTATTTAATAATATATTATTATATATAGGCTGTCCCAAAAATGTCTCGCAAACCAGAAATGAGAAGTTCCTGGGAGCATTTGAAGTAACCTTTTCCTTAGCGAAAATGCAACGCGTGGCTTCGTTTACGAATTATTAACGAAAACCACGGACCAATGAGAGGCGAGCTCGCCTAGCGTTTGTCGGCCGAGCCAATGAGCGCGCGAAGCCCAGTTCCGCTCGTTGGCTCGGCCGCCTTGTCCCAGCATATCTCATCTCTCATTGGTCACTCTTTTTTCGTTAATAACTCGTGAACAAAGCCGTGGATCGCATTTTCACCAAGGACAAACTTACTTCAAATTACCTCAGGAACCTCCCATTCTCGGATTTTTCGAGACATTTTATACATATTATATACATATAGTATTATCGTACAATTATTGTACAATATTTACGGCAAATAAAACTCACTGAAAGCCACCGAACAGAATAACAAATAGGTTAGATTTTCAGATACGATTTTGTGCGAATCGATCACACAGAGTTGGCCATATTTTATTCGTAGAATATAATTCGATACGAAACACGTTACGGGGGATGAAATTTGATTCGCAACATTAGCGGAATAAAATTTTATTCGAGACATTTACTCGTAGGATACATTCGATATATAGCTCGAATATAATTTTATTCGAAGGAACATTATTCGTTATCGGGAATAAAATTTTGATTTGTACATTTATTCAGATCCAATATCGTTCATTATTCGAAGGACCTCGGAAAGTGCGATCTGTTACCAAAACTTAAGACTGAAAGAAAATGAGAACGTGCAACGAGCAAAAGTAATCTCGTCTCATCAGGGAAACGAAGAAGCGCTGATCAACGAGCACTGTGAACGAAATCGTAGAGCAAAGGGGTTGAAAGAAGAACTATCGAGAATTATAATAATCAAATTAATAAATTAGAGAGAATTAAACATTCTCTAGACATTAATCTAGACATTAATCTTCTCTAGACATTAATTAAACATTCATCTAAACATTCTCGAGAACATTCTCGTTCAATTCCTTGTCGCAACGATCATTATTTTCAACAAAAAAAAAAACAAAAAAAAGAAAGAAGACCACGATCTACCGCAGATCGACCTTCAACCGCGCGCTATCCAAAATATTAATTTCGTCCCCGTTTCCGTGCTAATTCAGACCGCGGCGCGCGGTCTCGCCGTACAGGAAATGTTCATTTACATTCGTGAATAACGCGCCGCGTTGCGAAGATAACGATTATTATTATCCAACGCGTTGTTATCAGAGCGGCGATCGGGATCGCGTTCACGGCATGCACACCCGGCCCGCCGTTAATTGAAACGAGATGCGTGTTCTAGGAAGTGTTCGCGGTTCGCGGGAACGTTGCAAAACCCGGCGACGGAGATTAATATCGATAAGTGGTTCGCCGATCTTTCGTAACCGAGGTTTCGAGGAAGCGAGCGGTGGAACCGCGGTGGGAAAAAGAACGGAGGAAAATGGTGGACCGTGCAAGGTCGCGGCTGCTAATTAAATGGGGGGCCCCCCTTCGGGCGATTGCGAAGAGTCGGAGTTGCTCGATCATGGTACCTTATCGGTTTGTCCTCCGTGTAGGTGAGGGTGTAGTAAATGGGCACGGCTAGGTCGCCGACCACCAGCAGTATCACGATCAGACAGGACAACATCACCGGCATGTAGCTGTTCTTAGCGATGATCTTCGACCGGAAGGACAGGGCTATCACCGGGCATAGCAACGCGCTGCCAACGATGCAGACGACCACGTCTGGCACGCAGTTCTCGACGCTGACCTGCAGGAAGAATCATTCGTTCAACGGCCGCGTTTTGGCGATGATGAAATCGGGCCCTTTTCTGTAAAATGTCCCGAAGCTGAAGCAGCGAAGACGGTTCACTGCGTCGGGTGACCAATTGTTGTGACATTGCTATGTTTTTTGGGCATAATGAAATTTATATTTATTCAAGAAGACATGTTAAATTTTTGTATTCTTTTATTTTGTTTATTCCAGAATAAACGAAACAAAAGAAAGGCCAAAAGCATAGCAATTGGTCACCCTATAGTATCCGGCTATTGGGTTGGCCACAAGGTGTGACTTTGCTATGTTTTTGGGCATAATGAAATTTATATTTATCTGAATTTTTGTGTTCTTTTATTTTGTTTATTGCAAAATGAACGAAACAAAAGAAAGGCCATAGCAATTGGTCACTCTATAGTATTCGGCTATTGGGTTGGCCACAGAGTGTGACTTTGCTATGTTTTTGGGCATGATGAAATTTATATTTATCTAAACTTTTGTATTCTTTTATTTTGTTTATTGCAAAATGAACGAAACAAAAGAAAGGCCAAAAGCATAGCAATTGGTCACACTATAGTATTCGGCTCCATTAGCCTGTTGTATTTTTGAAAAATCTATTGGGTTGGTCACAGAGTCTTTACGCTAAATCTATCGTGTCGATCAAAATGACCAGTTCATCACATCTTGTATTCAAAAGCTGTCACAGTTGCAAAGACTCTTTTACAGGCAACGATTGAACGCATACCTTAACTCAAGCATACGCTATAATAAAAATAGCGGAAACTCTAAATTATTATATATCATAATAAATTAGCATCTTTGGTGCTTGGTAGGTTTAGTGTAAAAATTGAGAAACAGACAATTCTACGTTTGTGTTTAATGCATCGAAGGTGCTGCGGTTACATGCGTGCGACCATGTAGATAATTAACATCTCAAGAATGGACCGATGTGCTCACAACCTACATTAAGAACTGAATCGGTCACCTGATTCTTGTTCATCGGAAATATCGGAAGTATAAGTAATATATATATAATATAATATAATATAATATAATATAATATAATATAATATAATATAATATAATATAATATAATATAATATAATATAATATAATATAATATAATATATATATTATATAAGTAATTTCGTTCGCAATATTTTAATAATCGGATACACAGAGGAGATACGATTATTCGAGCTCTGCGTCTCGTTTTTATATTTGTTAACAATCAATAACTATAAAAACGTGCCGCAATTGTCCATTTTTGTGCGCAATCTGAGCGCGAATTAAGGAGAAATTACTGTAATCTGGTTATTCCATACGTAGCAGAAGAAACTATCTATAAATCGTACAAGATGTGATAAATAATCGAAGAACAATGGTTGACGATCGAACCATGAACATCGATATATGTTTGACCATATTATGATCGGGGACGATATTTGTGGAATGCACGAATTAAGCACGAGAAACGAGCCAATAAGAAATTGAAACGAGTTGGATTACGGTTCGAGCGGTTCCGATCTATTTCTGCCCGTGCAAAATGGCCGGGAATGGTGGTCATTTTTGGTTCACCGGGGAGGTCTGATGATGCCAGCGAAATTACCGGCACTCCTTAGTAATAGGTTATCGATTCGAGGGGTGGATAGAGCCGAGAAGCGCGCTGATCGACTCGTTCGTAACGTATTAAAGTACGAGAACGGAGAAAAGGAACATTCTTTTTTTTTTCATCGAGCATAAGACATTTATACTCGCATCCGAATATAACGTTCTTTTGGTCTATTTTAGCGCTACACACACGGTCGAAGTGGTCGTTATCTTTTTATCCGTCGACTCGATGAATTTGTTGACCGTACTAACCGCCCAATTGGCAGCAAATCGTTAAAACAAACCGTCGAGTATTCATTGAACTTCGAGCGTGTTTAGAATCCCAGGAGTAATATATCTAGTCTCGGCTGTGTGTCAATGTTTCGAAGCGAAAATTTATTCGCCTGCCTCATTAGTCTCCGAGGATCGCGCGGAGGTTATTTAAATTTCAAATTGACAAGATTGCTCCCGAGGCGTATTTAAATTTTCGATCGTCCAATATAATTTATGCGCGTGCGCCCGACATTTAATTCGTGTACCACGTGCGCGCCGTGTTATTGTTTCACGGTGCGAAACGAATTTGTTTAATGTTAACGACCAGACGTCGTTCCGCATGATTCATACATTTATTTGCGTGTCTGTCTAACAACGTGTCGGCATTTTCAACGCATTCGAATTTTTAGATTTGCTTCGATTTGCTTTGTAATTAATTTTTTAATTTTAATCGAAGAAAAATTAATCGTTATCGGAAATAAAATTTTGATTTGTACATTTATTCAGATCCGATATCGTTCATTATTCGAAGGAGCTCGGGAAGTACTGTCTGTTACCAAAATCTAGGAGTGAAAGTAAATGAAAACGTGCAATAAATAAAGGTATCGTTCATTTTATAAGGGATATGAAGAAGTGCTGATCGTCGTGGCTGTGAAAGAAATCGTAGATTATTTGAAAATATGTAAAACAAAAGAAGGCCAAAGGCACAGCAATTGGTCACCCCACGCATTTTCAACGCATTCGAATATTTAGAAATACGCGATTGCGTTTCTCTTCGATTCTCGAAATATCGTATCTCGTAATTATTAACGTAAATAAACATTTCGTTCATTTCGAATATACCGTTCCGAGCTTCGCCGCGTGTTTCTATCGAATCTTATTTCACTCACCATTGTAACCAGGATCAAACAATACGTTGTACCGAGCACCAATTGTAGCAGAACGAAGAGCGACAGATAACCATACTGAAGTCTCCTTTGGTAAACCGTGAACAGCTTCTCTAAGCCCTTGTATTTGAACTGTTCCTGAAAGTGAAAGCTCATATGAGATTATGTATTCGCGGTGTGACACCGCTGTTTGAACTTTCTCGCTAAGTTAATACCGATAGATCGTCGTAGAATCGACAGTTGTGAGTTTTCATTCTTTTAGCTTTCATTGTACGATAACGTTCCTAGATATATCAAATCTTGGAGTACTCGTGGAATAAAATACTTCGTAGAAAGTGGACAAATTAGATCGATAGTGTCTACTTACGCGAGAATATCGATCCGCGTGACAATCGAATCGTTATTCCCAAAATTAATTGCAACGCATGGCCATGATTACGATTCGATACCGATTTTACTCGAGCGTCTCTTATAAATGCTGCGAACCTGGCGTGGCAAGCATTGCGCGTGAAACGATTCACTGATACCCGCATGAAATACTGTCCAGCTCTGTTACCATTTCGAGTTTCGCGATCGATATGGTACTCGGAAAGCAATACGATCATTTTCTACCCGTATCATATTCGCAGAAATGGAAAACTCCTTTTGCGAATCGCGTGAGAATCGACGCAGCAATTAATAGATTGGGAATTATACATAGAACAGTGGAGTCTGTTACTGTGGGGTGCCCTCGATTTGTTGATTCGGGCATAATTAACTTTATATTTATCGAATAATGCAAATTAAACTTCTATTCTCCCATTGTGTTTATTTTAGAGAAGAGAAATATTTCTAGTCTCGTGTTTTCTTTATTTTTTAATAAAGAAAATTTAATATGTCTTATTCGATAAACGAGCCGTTTATTTTGAAAGTGACCTAAGTCACTTTTTCCAAAAGATCGACTTAATGGTAACACTAATTACAATTGAACGGTATCTTTCATTTTATAAAAAAAAAGTGACTTATGCCGCTTTAAAAACAAACCGCTCAAATGTGAATTACCGAAGGCACAGCAATTGGTCACCCAACAGAAAATGTCTCCGCTACCCGAAAGTGTTGCTAGGTCAGTTGCAACAGTATTAGCAAATATTTTCTGTGCTGTTCCCTGTTCGGCGCCTAACTTATTCTGTTGCGTACAATTCCGGCAAACAACATTTCCTTTAAATAAACTCTTTATCTCGTGCCGATGGTCAGTGTATCAAGGCTCGAACGTATCGGCAGTGTCATTTATGTCACATTGGGTTTCGCAAGTGCCGGAGGACTCACAGACCAAACATTACTCACGAGCGATCCACGCTCGCACGATTTTCCGCCTATCCCGGTTATTAGCACTTCGGCAATCGACGCATCGGCCAGAAGGTAACGCGATCGAACAACATTTAGCAATACACGAGTGTGCGACTTTCACCCCGAGGATCTTTTAAATTGAACGGGTGACACGGCCAGGTGTGCCGGGCGCCTCTCGTTAGCTTCCGAACGGAATCGAAGCTCCTCGTCAAAGGTGGCCTAATAATAGATGTTCGTAACAACGTCCGCGAATAACGGACAATGGCATGGCGGCACTCCGTGGGGAATCGAATTCGGGATGGAAGGAAGGTCTTTGAGGCGCGGGCCAACTGAAATAGCGTTCCATTTGAAAACTGAATCATCAAGTGGGCGCGAGTGCTCGCTCCATCATCGTCGATCGTTCCGGCTGGAATGAAGCTACACACACACGGGCGTACAGAAAAAATATACCAGGCGAGCGATTCTAAACACGCCGGATTGTTGATACCGCGAGAGATTCTTCAATGAGATTCCACGCGAATGCCCGGCATTCTTTTCTCACAACCGACCCGCGCTCGGTCGCTTTCGAAAATACTGCGGTAGAGATAGATTTTCCACTGACCGAGCGTACGACATTCCACGGAACGTTAGAATACTCGGCTTAAAGCACACACTTTCCCCGTTCTGTATTATCTGTCGTCGTTCTTCCAATGTTATGTATTAGGTCTACCGGAAAGGTTCTGTCCGATAGTGTCACTTCAAGTTTCAATCCATATGCACACGTTGATTCGAGACATGTATGACTGTCTCTCTTTATCGTTGCATTTACATACATGCACTCTCCTAAATAAACTGAAACAAAGATGTCTCGTGTCATTATTAAGCGAGACGCGATCGTGGAAACATGGCTACCGATGATAATGCCGGACCACATGCTGCTTTGGCGACTCGTCGGAAAATCGCAGAGCCAGGCTGGGAAATTCTGTCGCATCCACCATACTCCTCGGACCTAGCACCCTCCGATTATCGCTTGTTTCTCTCTTTGCAAAACTTTTTACAGGAAAAAGAAATTCAAAACTGAAGCTGACGTCAACCGAGCACTAGTCGAGTTCTTCGCCTCTAAAAATAAATCATTTTTTAAAAATGGCATTTACAAGTTGCCATCGCGCTGGCAAGATGTTGTAAGTAACGATGGAAAGTATATTCTACGATAAATATTATTAAATGTATGAAAATTGTGTTATATTTCAATTAAAAAACGGACAGAACTTTCCGGTAGACCTAATATGTATAGATTCCCTTGCAAATAAGTCCGTCAAGAGATAGTCATTTCCCCAAAAATGTTCGGAGGTCGGAATTGAAATCGGCAGATCTCAGAATACTAGTCGCGATTCTCTTCGGACCTCGCGGCTCGTTTCTATAGAAACTCATACCAGAATAAAAACGATGACTTAACTTTTTTATTTCTGATCTTTTGCCACGATTCGAAGGCAATTCGGAGGCCACGTGACACGATTCGAAGGCAATTTGGAGGACACGTGACACGATTCGAAGGCGACTCGAAGGCAATTCGGAGGCCACGTGACACGATTCGAAGGCAATTTGGAGGGCACGTGACACGATTCGAAGGCGACTCGAAGGCAATTCGGAGGCCACGTGACGCGATTCGAAGGCGATTCGAAGATAATTCGGAGGCCACGTGACACGATTCGAAGGCGATTCGAAGGCAATTCGGAGGCCACGTGACAGTACCTACCACGTACCTTGTAACTCCACGATTTTTCTTATCTGACTCACACCCAAACAGAGCATTTTGTATTGTCTTCCGGGAATTCGCGTCGCGTGCCGCATCACACGCTTGACCGACTCCGCTTGACCCTTAGCATCGACGCAGCAATAAATTACATAGACGTAGTACTAGCAGCGGAAAATTCACAGCAACCCGAAATTTGGCATTTCCGGGAGAAATTACTGTACTACTAACTTCGTAGGACTTAGTATCGTATGTTATTGAAACAATTCAAATTTATCGGACGTATTACCGATGAAAATTCTTGTATTTATTTATTACTACAGATAACTGGAATTATTACACACGTCGTTCAAAATGACTATCTCCGGCTCGCTGATAAGTACCGCAGCTATCAATGTCAGAAGAAAAAAGTGACTGATTGGCATTGTACGTGTGTCACTTCATTACACGTCTGCGGTGTCACAATTTTATTCGAATGTTATTAACAGGTTGCTCGTACAATTTTTGTCTCGTTGGAATGCCTGTCGTTGTAAGCCGTAAAAATGGACGACGATCACGCAGTAATCGATGATCCTTGCTAATAGACTTCTAGTAGAAAATACAAATTGAAGGACCTGTAAAGGCGTCGACGATATTTCAAGTTAATAAATTACAAGTTAAGTAATAAATATCAAGTTAATAAATGTTTTATTAAAGGTGACTTTAAAATTAGATTTTGAAATTAGAATAATTAAAAGCTTAAATTGTCAGTATTATGGATGTTAATATATTAAATTTAAATTTTATAAATAATTTTAAATTTAATATATTCTTTTAATTTGGTAGTTAACAAATGTTTTATTAAAGGTGAATTTAAAATTAGATTTCGAAATTAGAATAATTAAAGGCTTAAATTTTCAGTATTATGGGTGATAATATTATTAAATATACTATTTATTATATCATATATTAAATATCATAAATTAAATACATTTTCTGGCGAGCGAAGCGAACCGAAAGCGTCGAAACGCGTTCCATCGGCGGTAGCCGGTTCACGGGAGAGTACATTTCGAAAATGCGGCTGCATGCATTCGTGATTAGAATCGGTGGAAACAACGAGCAAGCGTACACAGACACGTTTCCCGAGCCTCGTGCTCGCTGCAGTTTTGATTTATTTTCCCGTCAGGAATCGCCTACTTTCCGCATGCGCCATTATTACGGCGGCCGCGGTCGGGCCACATTCGTAGCTGATACACGTTATTTCGCGGGCGTAAGTCGTAAATTATTGGGCTTGAATCATAAGTAACTTCCGTTTCCCCGCGCCATTTAAGCCGGCCCGTGACATTTTACGACGAGCATCAATCATCAAACGGCCAACCTTTCAAATTATTATCGATCTCAAAAAAGTTTTCCCATTTTTCAGATCGTCGTTCTGGTTGTTGTTCAATCGTTGTTCCGCCGTTTATGCACTCGTCGCGGAAGTTTCTGCTTAGATGAAGGTAGGAAATAGCTGATTTTATGGATGTTTAAATTTCGGCGCTGTAAACAGTTCAACGATGCTTTTGCTTCTTGCGAGCAAGTAATTTTCGATCGGGGAAACGTGCCGAGATCTACGTGCAAAACACTTAATCGTCGAACTCGCACGGCAGATTAACCGTGCAATATACTTTCACTATAAACACGGTCTTCACAGTTCCGGTAACGTGTTTATTAGACACACGTGTCTGCCCACTGTTGGCCACTTCCACTTGCAGGAAACGCTCTGCTCCGTTTTCTATTGCTATTATTAGCTTCCTTTAGCGTGTGATTTACACATTTAATTACTCTGCAAGCACAGATAATGCAGATTTCGTAGTCCGCGTTCCCCTCTCCGTGTATATCTCTGTTTAATTGATCTCTACCAACGATCGTTATTTCATTTGCTAACTTTCCTGATCGTTTTCTAAAATTCTGTCTGCAGTCGCATTCTATCCTATATCGTGACGGGCATAACGGCTCACTTACAAGCAAATTACGGAACTTTATGCATTTATCGCGTGCAGGAATCTACAGAAAAGCATAGAGCATCAGGCTAATTGAATTTGAAACCGTTTCATTACGC